CCCTTGAGAGATCTTTCCTAATTTCTGCTTAGTTCATGAAGGATGTATACCTTTATAATTCAACACTTTTACTCGAACTTTAAAATTTCAGAAATTATCCTTGAAATGGCTTAACTTCGAAATGCCGTTTCTTTCTCCAATTTATTAGAAAAGGTACTGTGAGGGTGGGGGGTGGGGGGCTATTGAAAACATATAAATATCTTTAGTGCGTCAAACATTAATACGCTCTGATTTCACCCTCTAAAACCTTCCTTTAAATACTTCCCACTTTCTACTTAGTTTGAAAATTGCACATGGTAGAAATTCTCATTCTGGCAGGGAAATGAAATGAGGCTTAATATGAAAGTCATTTAACTTAAAATAACGGGTTAGAAAATTAAAATGAACCCTACTGTTACAATGCACCAGGCAATGTCAGAATTCTAGTAAACAAGACCTTTCGAAAAAAGCAAAATATCAACATTGTCTAACAAATATGTTCTTGATATAGGTGTTAGGAACAGAGTTAAGTGAAAAGATGTTTAATTAAACGGCTTTACGCTTTAAAAGGTATTGCCTCGAAAATTTTTGATTTTCTGCTTTGTTCTTTGTAATTATGGGTGATTATTAGGATACATTATATTCATAAGGCACAATTTCTGAAACTTCCAAAATTATGAGCGGTCAAAATATTTGGGAGAACAGCATATTCTGTAGCGAAAAGAAAATAATTTTTGGTAGTTCCTAAGTTATGAACAATAAGCTGAAGTTAAAATGTAATTATTAGTGGATTTTGTCTATTTTTTATTATTTTTATTTCTAGTACACATTTTGTCAGTTCTTAGCACCCAATAATTGTTTCAAATTCCATTTGAAGTGAGTAGATAAATTTCTTAAATGGATTCAGAGCTCATTTAAATTGAGTATTTTTGTCCACAAGCTGATGTTAAATATCATCTATTTTTGTAACTAAATATATTTTCCAGGCTTATTCTGGCGTCAATGGAATTAACTATTAGTTGCATGCAAAGAGGTTTTCGAAAATTACATGTCAATCAACATATTACTTACAGATATTTTTTTCCAAATATTTGATTCGCTAGGGGCTCAAATATTTTCATTAATTTTTCCATAGTGCTTCTTTCTGTTAATTAACCCTTTGCAATTTCAAAATTTGCAGCAGAAGGCGCAGTATTTTTTTTTCAATCGTGCTCCGCCATTAGCAACTACACGGAAAGAGAAGGATTCCCGTGGAGGTCTTTTTAAGCGAAACTGGCTCGCATCCACATTACAAATGGTAAAAACCACGTAAACGTCCATGCAGCCAGCTTATTCGCCGGAACTCGAAACCTGGACCGAACTACCAGTGTTTACCGTCTTTTACCGCTCGGCTGCTGGTGGGCCAGTAAAAGGGTTAAGGTGTTAAATTATAGAGGGAAATACGGTTCATGAACTTCAAAAAGAAATTAAGCGACAGCATCAGTAGCTGAAGGTAGGAGAGCATTTATTAAAGGAATCAAATTAAAGGCATATCTTAGTATTCATATTGTAAGCTTAAAACGCGCAATCTGTCTTTTAAAATATATTTGAATGAATTTTTAATCAATTATGCAGTTCATGCCACTTGTTTTAAACAACTTACAGCGCAGGTTCTGATGTTCCCTCTAATGTGGATATACGAATACAGATTCATACATACATTATTAATTCAAAAAGTTCGCCTTTAACTCCAAAGAAACATTTCCGTCATACTGCTATAAGCGTCAACTTCTCAGATGTTGATTTGATGCCGTAGACTACATTAAACGCTATTTGCTTACTAATTGTTTATTATTTGTTTCTAGTCAGGTCAACCTGACAGTTGAATGAAAGAGTGGAAACTCCAAGAAAGTTGCTTTCTCTCGGGGTTTTGACAGCTGTTCCTTTCGAGGTTACTAAAGCAAAATACTAATTCACATGTTTCTTAGGTGCATACAAATTCATTTTTAAATCATAATCTTGCGTAAGGATTAAGTTACACCCCTTTACTCCGCCCATATTTGCAAACACAATCTTTGACGGGGCAGCTTTCCTCCCACTCGTAAAGTGACAACAAAACTCAATGACACCTTCAACATAGTGTTTAGAGGAGAATAAGATTGCGAAGTAATTTTGGTTTGTGTATTCCGCTGTCAAATATAATCAGACTTCTGATGGATGTTGTAGCATTTAATGCACTTAATCATTGCGAAAATTTTTTTCTATCTACATTATATCCCTGAAACCTTGTTTATAACTTTCGTCTTGAGACTTTATCAATGAGCATTAGTGTTGAGACTTTGGGAAAGGAGATGTTTAGGACGTTGCACAAAGTGATTGTTTTAATGCTGTTGTTAATTCGAATTTTTATTCAGGTAAATTCTTACTCAAGGAAAAATGTCACACCATACGAACTCCAAAAAGGAGGTCAATCCTGTTGTTAGGTCACTCCTGGAGGTCAGTCTTTTTGATCACATGGATCAAAACGTAAAACCACCTGCAAAGTTCCCCCCTTTAAATATATAAATATATGATATATACATATATATATATACATATAGTTAATGAAATTTCAGTGTGAAGGATATATTTTCAAGATAATATTTTCAAGATAATAAAATATGCAGTTTTATTCAATTACCCGAGATATAGTTCACGGTTTTTCTATATTATAACACAAACATAATCAATTATAAACGAGGAAAGATTAGTTGATTACTTCTGAGTCCAAAACAAATTATATACATCAAAAACATAGCATTCTTTAATAGACAAATCATTTCAGCATCATTACAAACATTTGACCTCTTGAGAAAACTAGAATAATGTAATCAATCATTTTGAAAATGTTCCAGTAACATAATGGAACTGAATAAGTCTTTTCATTGAAACAATTCGTTTAATTTTGGTAATTTCTAATTAAATAAAATAATTATCTTATAAAAAACGCTCTTATAAAAAGCGTTTGGAACATTTATTTATTCTCTAAAATAGCTATGAATTGTTCAAAGTAAACATTTTTCATCGTATTCTGAAAGGCGCTCAGTGTCAATTTTTCATACTTGTCGACATGTTTTACTTTTATTCCTCCGAATATTGTTTTCATTTTACAGATCAGTTTTTAAAATATATAAATCAGAATGTTGCAAACATTATTAAAAAATTATATGCATGCATATATTTGTTTTAAAATCTATAACAAAAAAAATTAAAAGGTATTTTGAGCTTAATAATTCCTGTTTTATGGAATTATAACCAAACTACATTTTGTTTTGTATTCTCATACTCACTTCTATTAAGACCCGTGTAGACTAAAAGCTGTTCTGCATATCAGAATAATGGCTGCTATCTTAACCGTTTGTGCCATCATAACGAACACGTTAATCCTGATTACACGCACAATTTTAATTAACCTACACAACCGTCAAACTGTTTATAAACGGAAATTAGAACTATTATGCAGCTGTCCAATATCACAATAATTTCATTCTGTGTAAAGTAAAACTCTAAAGAAAAATAGCTTGTGGCTTAGAACTTTTAATAACGATTCACATTAATTTACACTTTACTGGAATAAGGAGGCTTCCATAAATTTCGTAATTCACCTGGCATATTATTAATTTTTTTTAAAAAATCGTTGTTGGATTACTGATTATAGCAAAGCATTTGAGGGCTTAATTTCTAAGATAAGGGTTGACTTTGCAGAGCACTTTCTAGTGAAAACTAGTTCGCATTTCTGGTTTGTGGGCGAAACAATCACCATGAAGCTAGTTCACTTAACCACTGGAAACAGAAATCGTGATGAACGACCAGTGTTCCGCGACTTAAGTCACTCAGTCAGAGGTGGGCCCTGTGTTGGATGTGTATTTCTATTACATCCCGTTATAAATAGTTTATATGCAATTTCTTGTAGCAAATTATTTAAAAAGCATGTTCTCAAAGTATTTGTTTTGTACTTCTGCCTGGAAATACCGGTAACAAAATATATCTAGCTATGAAAATTATACTGTAGTTAAGGTCGTATTGCTATAGTTATCGCCATTTGTGTTATATTAAATATTGTTCAGCTAACTTTTTATATTGTTATTCCTCTTCTTATCCTTGTCGAAATGGATTTTGTCATATTTTAAAGATTTTCTGGTTACGCTACTGATTCAATATATCACTGTGTTTTATGTATTATTTAAATACTAGGTATTTCCTCCCGTTATATTTCGCATTTTCTGTGCTGTTTTTTTTTAACCAATCGAAAAGCAAAAAATGCACGATTTTTTTTAACGTAAGGTTACGTTACTATTTGGTGGTTTTTTTTTTTTTTTTTTTTTTTTTTTTTGTTTGTTTTAAAGGGTGTTTGATTTTATATTTTGAACTTAACATGCATGTTCCGAACAATCTGAAAATTTTCTTTGTAAATAGCACGTAAATATTAACTAAAAAGAAAACCGAATCAGCAACTCACTTGGTTTTCTTATAAGTCTAATTAATTTTTATATGGCTTTCCGTGAGTTTCTCTACGTAACATAAGTACGAACCAATTTAGAAAATCCTCCTTGAAGGCATCCCTGCCGTTAAGCTGATAGCCTTCGAGTGTTTAGCTGTAATTTAAATAATACTAATTCTTTCGAAGGTTAATTGAGATGTGAAGTGGCTTTTAATATCTTAGTTAAACCTCCAGGAAAATCAGCTGTACCCTTTTATCTTTCATGGACAAACTTCTTCATTTCCTCATTAAATCACACCGTCTAACGTATCTAGTCTACTAGTATCGACAGAAAAATACTTAAATATTATTTTTTCCGAAAAATACGTTACGAATTCAAAGGTTTGAAAAATACATCAAAAAATGCAGTATTACTATTCTTTTAATGGCTAATAAATGTTGTAAATGAAAACTAGGCTATATTAATGAGTAAACAAATTATTAGGATTTATTTTATTTTAATAAAATTCACTTAATCGTTATTTTTTAAATTATCATTATTAATTTATTTTAATTATTGCAGGAGCTGGTCCTGTTCGTTATGTTATCTATTCAGGAGATCCAGAAGGGTTTTTCACTATCGATCCGTTGACAGGAACCATTAAAACGAAAGGCAAACTGGATCATGAAGCTCATTTATTTTTGTTACTGAACATTCAAGCTACTAGCGGAAGGCCTCCGATTTATGGACATACTCAGGTAACTTAAAAAGAACACTTCTATGTATTATATTGCTTCATTAAGCATCTTTTCCTAGATTTAATTTTAAAACTTTTTTATTTCGCTTTCCTAAGTATGTTTTATTTCGTGTACTTCACTATAAAATTATTATTTTGCTTGCAGTTCTTTGAAATATATCTTTATGATAAAAAATTGCAATTAGAGCAATTCTCGAAATGTACACGTCATTCACCCCTTTATTATAATAGTAGTTCCACTTCCATCTAATGGAGTACAAAAACATATACACTAGTAACTTTCTAGATAATTTCAATATCTAATATGTATTAGATTTACGCTGTGACAAATATTTCGAAATATTACTTACTCTCGTATAATTCTAATCCCCCCTTTTTTCCTTTCAGGTTAATGTTACTATATGGGATGTCAATGATAATGCCCCTTGCTTTGCTAGTACTTCCTTAAAAATAAGCGTCCCTGAAAATGCAGATTTAAGAGTTCCTATATATGTTGTGCATGCTAAAGATCCTGACAGTAACAGAAATGGCGAAGTGCATTATCATCTACTGGATAATCCTGACAATGTATTTCTTGTTGGAGAAGATTCTGGAAGTATAATGTTACAGCGTCCTTTGGATTATGAAGTGCGTCGCCATTATATTTTAGTCTTAAGTGCCACGGATTCTGGTAGTCCCCCGTTATCATCAAATGTAACTTTAATGGTGGAAGTTCAAGATGTGAATGACAATGCTCCAACTTTTGAAAAGAATGAATACAAAGTTAATGTTTTAGAATCTTTACCAGTTAATTCACAGTTTCTCCAAGTAACTGCTACCGATATGGATACTGGTAACAATGCAAGGCTAACATATAAGCTATCAGGAAATGTAGGAGATAGTGCTTCAAAGTTTGGTATCTTCCCCAATAGCGGATTTCTGTACCTGAAAGAAACTTTGGATCGTGAAACCACTGATTCATATTCCTTAATTGTTTTAGCTGCAGATAACGGCAGTCCACCTTTGTCGGCGACTACTGTTGTTCAGGTTCAGGTACTTGATGCAAATGATAATGATCCTGAATTTGTGGAAGATACGTTCGTATTTACTGTTCGTGAAAATACAGAAAAAGGCCAACATGTTGGTACAGTATCAGCACGTGATAGAGATCTTGGGAATAACGCATCGCTACGTTACAGCCTTCTTAATACTAACGGGACTTTTCAAATTAATCCAGTTACAGGTAAGAATTTTATCTTAATATTATTTATAGCTTAAAAAATGCTACTTAACCTTAAAAATCCTATAAGTAAATTTAAGTGATTTTATAAAATACTGATTTTTAATTTGAAAAAAAAAAAAAAATATTCAGCTAAACGTAGGTCATATTGACCATGTTTTACATTATCACTTCTTTATAAGGATTTTAACAAAATACATGATCTATACAAAAGATGGTCAATGAATAAGACTTCTTAAAAAACATATGTCATATTCACTGGGTACTATTCCATATTAACGTACTACATTCTGGAAAAATATAGAATTTTTTCTGTTTTATGTGTTCTTAGTATTATTATTATGTTGACAAAGAAAGCAAAAGGAATGCAAAGAAATTTAGAACTATTGTATTGTATTTCCTTTTTTTTTTTTTTTTTTTTTTAAATCTTTAATATATTTCCTACATATTGAAACCTATATAAATGTTGCAGCAAATCTTTGAAATTAAGAAGTATTACGAATTACTCAACCCACTTGGCTAAACAGAAAATATTTTATCTCATGTGTTCCACTGATATTCGCGATATTTTGTGCGCGATATTGTAAAAGTACCAAAAGATACAGAAACGTAAAAGAAAGTAAACGGAATTCAGAAAAATGGAAAGATGATTACTTGAGTATTTCATTAAGGAAAGAGAAATAATAGTCAGTGTCACTTAGGTTCCAAAGTTACCTAATTTTCAAGTAACCAAACCATATAATTTAATGTAACTAAAATAAGTGCATAGCCAGTTGATTTAATTATAGTCACTGAGTTAGAACATGGTGTTAATTATTTGGTAGTATTAGCATGCAGGGTTCGAAGGAAACTCACTCACCAGCGGCCGAGCAGTAAAATTGTTGAACACTATGTTGTTCAACCTGGTATCAAATCGGTAAATGGACTGTCTTCGTGGGGTGTTTTTCCCATCTCTAATGTAAATAACGTAAAAAGACCGTCACGAAAACATTTCTTCTCAGGCAGATAGCCGTCGTATGCTTTGTCATAACCCCAAGTAATAACTCCATGTGCATGTCCTTCGGCATGAACGGTCTAAGAATAAGCATTTTTTGTTAGATTTATGTCTGGTAAAGAACAAATGCTGACTAAAATAAAAGCGGGACCTCCTAGGGGAAAAATTAAGAAGACTACCATATTTAACAACTAAGCAAGATAGTGGAAATGATCAATTATACGCATTATTTAATTGCTGTGGATCGACACGCAGAAATGCAATATTGAGCATCAAATATTAGTAACATCGGGCATAAAAGCGCTTACAAAACTGCATTGTTTGATCCTAGCGTATAGATGCATTCTCGTAGATAAATTTTTATTATATCCAGAAATATCTATCAAATGTAAATAATTTACCATCTTCGTTTAAAATTTCCCATGTGTGTTTGTGGTCTTTAAGATAAGCAAATGCGTATTCCGAGGCAAAGCTTGTGGGTCACTCGAAATAACTTAGTTGTTTAAGCCTGTTTCTTCGAAAACATTAACCATCTATTTGATCAAGTGCTGCATTTGTAGAAGAGATATTGAATTCAGAAGTTCTTGTGGTGGACTTTTCCTTTTTGCTTTGCCTGGATATGCAAACTGCAAGCAACATGCGTGGAAAATTTTGAATGAACATTATTCATCATCTATGACAGAATTATAAAACATGAAAGAAATTCGTTTATAATTTGGTTTCAATCAGGTAATGGATTTTGTGATATACTTACATTCAATAGTGTGTAACTGCTAATGATTGCGGGTTAGTGCGCTTCTTAATGTCGATTCGTAGTAATTGCATTACGCTGTACATATTTGGAAGTAGTTTCTTCTGTTTCGAGCAAAAATGGTTTGCTAACTTTTCCTCCCCTCCCTTTAAGATCGCTACAAATTCTTTTCAGGTAGAGATATTTACTCTCTTAAAGGAAGACCTAAATGGGAACGTTTATTCCAAAATATAAAAGCTGGTACAGCTTTCTTTTGAGCACTGTATATGCATACGGACTTTTGAATTTTGAATTTCCTCTTTAAAAAGCATTCATTCATTTATATGGAGAAAAGGTCACTTTAATGTTTACGTTGTGTCTTCTACCTCTTTTTTTTATTTTTTTTTTATTTTTTTTTTTTTTTTTTTATTACAATTGAAACTTTTATCATATGTATCATACAGCATTTAAAAATGTTGATTTCTTAACTCTTCGCTCTCCGTAATTTAAATTTTTGCCTTTCCTTTGCAGGAGAAATTTTCACTAAAATAACATTAGATAGAGAAAGCAGGCCCAAATATGAACTAACAGCTGAAGTTAGAGATCAAGGGAATCCATTTCGTTCCGATCATGCTGCTGTTGACATCAAAGTATTAGACACAAATGATAATTCTCCAGTATTTGTTGAACCCGTTGAATCTGTCATCGAAATAGTTGAAGAACAGCCTTTAGGAACAGAAGTAGTTCAAGTTGTTGCTGAAGACATTGACAGTGATGAAAATGGCGCTATCACTTATGAAATAGTAAAAGGTTTGGTTATTTATATATTTCATTACTATTAATTGTGCAGATAAATGGAAGCTACTGTACCATAACTAAGTTGATTTTTTCCTAGTGTTCGAGCTAATAAATTCATCCAGTTTAATGGTATAAATTAATTTTGAATTAAAATGGCCATAAACCTGCATTTTTTTTTTCAATAAAATCTTTTGATCAAAATTATCCTTATTTAATTCCAACCTAAGGGTTTAAAAGGATTTTGAAGCTTTCAAGGCCCTTTCTATTTCAATTTGCAGTAAACATAAGAAATAAAAAGACTAAAATTATCTATTTTGTTTAAATGATGACGAATTTCTGCTAGAAATTTTTATATATTTGATATTTAATACAATGTTATTAGTAATATTATGATTTTGTTTTTAAGTTGTAAACATGTTTTCTTGTAATTAGTGTAGTATTTCAATTAGCAGTGTGGTATTAAATACCTGCTTTCAAGGAAGTTGTTCTTGGACTTAAGGAAGGTCATTAATTTCATACCATTGGGAGCCTGTTGTTTACGAAATTATTAGAATTTCGGTGTAGTAAAGCATTTCCATAGTGAGCAGTACCATTTAAATAACTTTAAAAATATATAAATAAATAAATAAAATATTTAAAAAAAAGTCTAAACGAATGAAATGAACTTGCAGTCTATTCCTTGACTTTTGTAGAAATAAATAATATTGTACTGTCGTTTACTCGAGCATTATATAGAATTATCTTTCCTACACAAATGGAAAATTTAGTAACAGTAAGAGTTTCTAGATTTTAAACTGCAGTTTAAACAGACTGTGTTACATTAAGTATCTGTTAACAACCTATTTTTTTTATTTAGAAGTCAAAGAACAAAAATTAGCGTTATCGTTGCAAATTTTTACAGTACTAGTTTCGACGGTTTTATCGAACCATCAGCTGCCAAAGTGAAGAAAGAAACTCTTTTTGCACTTTGGCAGCTGAGGCTGATGGTTCGGTTAAACCATCGAAACTAGTCCTGTGAAAATTTGCAAATATATCGCTTATTTTTGTTCTTTGACTTCAAAATTAATATTTGTTTGTTCGGCGTGTTATTTTACCTTAATTACCTATTTTTTGTTTCGCTGAATTTATTCCCGGAAAGATCGATATTAAATTACTAAGTAAGTGCAATGGCATTTAATTATTCTGAACAAAGAAGACAAAATATAATAAAGTATAAATGAAATGTCTTCTAGAGCATACGTACAATATAAGAATATTTAAAATTAATATGCCGTTTTTTGATTAACATAAAACAAAAAATATTCAAAACGCTCACTAAAAGATCACTAGTATTCAAAATGCTCACTAATATTGTTAACAAGCGGCATACATTTTATTTTATTAAACGGTCTTAGGAAATTCCGATTTGCTGTGTCAGTTAATGTTTATATAAGGGATATAGCTAATCAGTGGCCTAGTGATCGGTGATGTACCGACAATCGATAAGCCGGTGGCTAAGCTTTTTGCTGCCCGGTGCAATCTTTTAAGTGCGGTGGTTCCTAAATTTTGCCCCCTGTACCGACTTTGGCGCCGGCCATGATCTCGATTCAACCTTGACCCCTGACGGTTCCCATCTGAGCCCGAATCTGAAGCATCTGTTTTCCCCAGTTCGTCGTTCGTTTCCTTTTCCGTTGTATAAACGAAAGAAGAGTGGGCTTGCTTTTCCAGCCCTAATTCTTTTTTCAAAACATTACATATTTATCATTTATACCACGATCCTCGCATCTGATCTTTCCTGAGAATTATATCTGAATAGCGTTTCATTGTAATTAGACTTTTACAAAACCATGTTCATTATTAAGTGCATGTAAACCGTGTAAATGCTTTTTCGCCCAAATGACGTTTTGTCTAAAAATGCCTTTCCCCACCGGTGGATAACAGTTCGACTTCCCTTTTAATGGTTCCCTCTTCCTAAAACCCTCTGATACTCTTTCGCCCAAATCACTTCTACCAACACCTCCTAGAACTAAGTCCTAGAACCTAGTCTAGTTAGTTCTAGGAGGCGTTGCTTCTACCCTCCTCTCTCTTCCCAGTGGAAGGGTTATCCTTCCGATAACACTCGCTTCTCTCTCGTTGGTACAAAAGCCAAGACTGTTCTGCACTTACATTTTTCCTACGACTTATTTGCATAAAGTATTCTACATAAGAATATAGCATAAATAACAGTATTTTATATCATATTATTATGTATTTATATAGTTATTACTAAATGAACATGTGCAGTATTCTAAAATTTCGATTTATTTTTATATTTATTCAAAGCATTTTGACGACTTCACGAAATAATTCAGGATTATACGATGCTTATTGAACTCATTTGTTAAAAACTTACAAATTCTATTATAATAATGAATGTTTTGAAAATGCGAATAATGTATAACTTTCTATTGAAGCAAAAGTTCAGATTTCCGCAGTTTAAGCGGCATTCATTTAAGCGGTTTCCGCAGTTTAACGCGGTATGAGAGATAAGCCACCCCTGATTATGATGAATTTTTCCTGAGACAGCTAAATGAATAGTTTTTCAATTTAGTTCGGAATATTTCCGGATGCAGAAAATAGTTTCAATTTAAAGGCCATTTATTGCTACAGCGTTAATCACCATGTGACTCGTGAATAATGATTTGAATACATTATATAATTTGAATATATTATTAGATTTTAATATTAGCTTAAAGGGAAAAAATTTTTTCGTAAGATACTTAAAACCCTCCAATGACTTACTAATTCACGATCGAAATTTTGGTGACATAATGACTTAGCATAGCCTGAACAGACAAAATTTTACTCTACATATTTCGGAGATAGAGAGAAATAAGATCATAACAGGGAAGAAGAATGCGGATGTGATTCGATTTTTAATTTAAGACTGAAATTTATTTAAAGTAACACATTTTTGATTAGGCGTCCACCTTTGAAGAAGATTGGGTTGTGATTCATTGCTGAGACACACGAAAATTACTAGCCTAGCTGGAGGGTTGTTTTCATGGAATGCTTTTTCCCAGAAACTGAGTCGTCTTCACATTATATGAGTGGAAAATTCCCTATAGCAAGTCTTTCCGTTAAAAATTTACTTTACGTGAATATATGTAAATTTTTCTAAAGCGAGAGATTTGAAGATATTGCTCTAAACTCAGACAGATGAAATCCGAATTCATTACTAAGAGTTTAAAAAAAAATCATAGTACTCGTCTAGTAAAAAGAATTTTTTTTTTTTCAGTAACTAAATTGCTACATTAGAAAAATGTTATATTTTACTAATTAAATTATCCTTTTTTCTTCCCCCAATAAGTATTTAAAATAAAATACTCATTCCCGAAATGTTACTCTGCTGTAATTCCGTTTGACGTTAAAAAGAGAGATGATGCGAACGAAAAATAATGTCATATTATTGCATGAATGTGAGCATTATCTTTTGTATGTGGTAGTTCATTTGGGAAAATAATGATGTTACTTATTTAACTCTTATCATAAAGAGTTAACCACCTCTTTTATTATTGCTCATGATCTAAATTCATTATTCTAAATGATAGCAATTCTAATGGTCGCAACATTGATATAATTTTCTAATAAAATTTCGTTGTTTAATCATTTTTCTTTTAAATTATTTTTATTTTTCGTTTAATTCTCTATATTTCAATTGGGATCGCATGGTTTATTGCCACAACTTAGCATCAGTATGACTGATTCATTTCTTTGAATCAATGAAGATAAATTTAAATGGAAACCAGCAGCATTTTTATTTAACTTGTAATGCTACTCTTAGTTACGGCTCTATCATTTGAGCAGTGATTCCGGATATTTCTACAAAAGAACTTTGAAATAAAATTACGCTTCATTTATGATATTTTTTCATCCAGAATACGTATGCTATTTTCTAGTTTATGCGTAGGGTTATAATTGATTTGATAATGCTATTTTAGTCTAATAACCGTAACAACTGTGAAGCGAATTATCGCTATATCTGTGAGCAAAAGTAAAGCTTTGAGAAGGTTAAAGTAACAGACAGAAATTACAATAAAAGGCACTCTCCTGTACTACAATTTCCGCAACTTGTGGTGATGCAAAATAAAGCAGAACAGACCAAACTGATTCAAATGTTGAACAGTAGTCTAGGATTGTACAATTAAATACTACCAAGAATTGATCACTAAACCTACCTACCGGAGATTCAGAATTAAAGTGTCGGTAACGATGCAATGCAAAAGCGAATAATTACAATTATCAGAGCTGGCAGTAAAATAACAACGTAGCTGACACGCAGTGCCAAGAGAACACGGTCTTAAACTCCAAAAACCTATCAGTTTAAATACTGGCTACTATTTGCCTATTTTATCTCCCACCTCAAAATCAACTTTCCTTCTTTCATGCCATAATTAAACATTTGTGCCATATCCGAATTTATAATTTCCTTGTCAACTAATGTCTGAAAGTCTACCGTCTAAAATTCCGCAGACCTCTTTTGAACAAAAAACAATTTATCAAAGGGCGTAATTAACTTTCTGCCAAGAAATACCTCAGCCCGTCTCTTCCTGACGGTATCCTATTTAACCGTCCTCAAGGCAAATGAGAGTTTGCTGACGCAGCCATCCCAACATTTGTCATATTTTTTTTACATATATCCTAAAAAATTTGACTAATGAATTGCTTTCTGTTTGTTGACTGATATTATTTTAACTGGAGCTACATACTCTAATATAAATTTATTTAAAATAATTCTGCGACAAATTTAGCGGAAGCTCTTTTGAGGGAATTATTTCTGTCCACTGTTGAGAAACGGTCAGCGATTACGAGCAACTATCTATTTTTTGTTCATTACCTGGATATGGACCTAATAGGTAAATTTAGGTACCCGGACGAGTACCTAACTAGCATAAAAGATAAAATTAATATCGTTAACTAACTGACTAATTGATACAAATTTTTGTAGCTGTGGAAAATAAACAGCTTCCGTTACTCTCTGGACTGTTTTTGTT